GAGAGAGAGAGAGGGAGAAATTCGAGCAAGAGCATCGAGAGAGCGAACGATTTATAGTCCTTCGAAGGACTTAAAGTCCACCGAAATCCCTTCGAGCGTACCACGTGTCTCGTCTTTCTGCACGTTCTCAAGAGTGAGAACTCTTTTTCACAAATTCGTGCGAGTGAATTTATCGTGGAGATTTTTTGGAGGTCATCAACTTTCTTATCGTGGCTTGCGAATCAATATATTCGTAGTTGGAAATGATTTTAGCATACTTGAGAAACGATCTACGAGAGAAATAGATAAAAAGGCTTGTACGAAGTACAGTCTCGAGATTTTTTAATAATCATTTTGCTTTTGAAATAATTAAAGATTGTTAATCGAGATTTAGAGATTATATTTCTTTAGCATGTTTATCATATTAAAAAAGAAAAGAGAGAGAAAATACACGTATTGAAAATATATTATAATATATAATTATAAATTATTTAAAATCTCAGTTTATATTTTTTTTTTTTCTATATACAGATCCGTGTATAAAATATTTCTCATTAAGCATATTTTCCGCTAAGAGAAAATCAACTCAAAATTATACAATTAATCAACGTAATTAGAATAGAAAATATACGTATCGAATATTTCGACAGCCATATTTATATTTCCTAATTATTTTTAAAGATCGATGTTACTATATAATGATTGTCTCATACTCGAAGTAGTCTCTATTTTTCTCTGCACGTTGTTTTATATCAAAGAACAAAAGATTGGCAGACCACGTTGAAAGAATGATGCTTCGCGTGGAGAAAGCACGTCACGGATGTCTACCACTGAGGAGAAGTCTAAAGAACAAAAAGAAATGTGGTGAAAGGAGATGGCGTAGAAGTGTTCCCTGTTTTTGCTAAAATGAACTGGCTTCAAGCCCAATTCGTACTATTGCAAAGCAGCACGAATTCACGTGCGCTAGTATCGAGACAATACATAAAAGCACATTTACGCTGTACACCCGCAACCGACTAATAGATATTTTTATTCAGTTTCTTCTTTTTTACCGTGTTCTTTTTATATTGTTCATTAGAAAAGAAAGACGATATAAAATAAAAAGACAGTACGATACCTACGATATCTTAACATATTCAAGATTCTTATAAACTTGGCGTATATATAATAATAATAATTTTAGGTTCTTTTGATTTATTTTCATTTGATAATTTTATATAAAAATCATTATATCTATAGAACATTATATTTATACAATCGTATTCTTCTTTAATCACATATTTTATCATATATTTTACCATAATATGATTATAATTACTTATAGGAAAGTTCACACCGCATATACAAATAAAAATTAGCCAACTTATCAGAGGTTTCGAAAAGTCAACATTGTTTCACCTGTTGCTATTTTGTGAGTTCTCTTCACTATTATTCTCTCTTTATTATCTCATTTGCGGCTCGAACTGACAAATTAATCGATTGAGAATTACCGTTCCGTTTAACATATACATCCATTTTCCGAGTTCTATTCAATTCCAATCGGCTGATATTCAAAGAGCTAAAATTCCGTTTTCGAAAAATAGTATTACATTAACTAAACCCAATAGACGTGATGATATTCAAATATCATCGAGTGTAATGTTATGTACGTTATGTTATCACGGTATTCACATTCGTTATCCGTCCTGGTGAAATTAATCAGAAATTCGTCCCGCAAGTGCTCGCCTTCACACCAAAAACGTCCGCGTCGCGTTCGCAAACGCGCGAACTCGCCAGCGCTTCACGACCGTTACGTTATGTGAAACTTGGCGAAAGTGCGGACGCTCGTTAATCCATAAAGCGGCGCGGTTTCGCAGACTGCAGCTGCAAGCTGCTGTCGCTGATGGAATGCACCGGCGTGTTTCACCTTTAAAACTAACTTCACTTCGACAGGGTTCCCGAAGAGCCACACTTGACGGCTTCATTTCGTCGACGCTTCTCTTGCGATGCATCAGCTGCTTACGCTATCGAGATGATTAAGCGTAAGATCGGGAAATTGTTTGACACGAGCCCAGGTATGACAATATGCCCCAGGGATATAAAGAAAGCCGTGGGATTAAAATGTGTGTGATACATTTATGTAATTTCTATCTTTCTACAAATTCGACTTGTCGACCTCGAAAATAAAAATATCCTTTTCACAACATTTTTGATTTGAAGAAAGATTTGGGAAGATGATAAGTTGAAAAGTGCACTCGTGATTGTTATAAAACATGAAACACTTATAAATAACTCATAATCTTTTTCAATCGCTCGCCAATCTGCTGCTAAGTAAATATTTCATAGATTTAAGTTCTTCATGTCTCTCGGCCGTGTACAGTTTCTCGCGTGTTGTTCTCTCGAATGATAATCCTGTCTGCGGAAAGTTACGCGTTGCAGTGTCGAGGTTGCGACAGCGCTCATCATTGCACGCCAACACGATTATTCGCCGGGAGTTGCAATTGGTTCTTTGCGAACTTCTGGAAACTTAGCGCGTGGCAGGGAATACTTTATTAGCCGCTATCTAATGATCGACAATGGATGTGCTCGAGATGTGGTGAAGCGAAGTTTAACTCACGATTTCGCTATCGAGAGCATTTCCTTGAATCGAAATTCAATTCGAATGAATCACAGAGATTCCACATTGATTTTGTCGGCTAATGTGCAGAGCACCTAGCCAATAGTGTATTCGCGTGGCGAATAACGTCTACCTTTTGCGAAATTTCCTATTGTAGATTGTATTTGATCGCGTAAATCTTATTATCCCAGATAATTCTTATATGATTAGACAAGAAAAATTATGAAATATAGGAAAAGTTAGAGACTGAGAAAATATATTTGAATAAAAGTTTACCATGTTCCGCGAATAAATTTTATCACACATGCACGAGAGCTCATCGTTTATTTTTTTTTTTATTTATTTTTTATTTTTCGAGAAACAATATAATAGTTAAGATTTAGAAAAGTAAAATTGAAATCATACTTAACAAAAATTAAAAGTTTTATTATTATTTTATTATTATAGTTGGCTCGTATTTTTTGTTAACTCGGGGATATCTGTTACTCGCACATAATTAATATTGCAAATCTACAACAGGCAGCAAAATATTATTTTAAAATAATCGCAATTTAACAGTTTTAACGGTCTCTGTTACTGTTATATGTATCTCTATTACATAGAAAAAGCTTGCGTGGGAATGATCCGTTTTTGATGTTGCCAAGCTTTGTATTTTTACTTTTATAAAGACATAAAAGACAGAGGTGCTCGGAATATAATAAATTCAAAAACATTTAGTTATTATAACATTTAGTAATATAAGGGCAAAAGTGCAAACACGCGATAGAAGGTAGGTTGTAACATTCTATGCGAACGTAGGTTGTAACATTCTATGCGATGCATCAGAAAGTTCATTTGCGGAAAACAACTTACTAAGCAAAGTTTGCACTTACTATTAGACAATGTTGTTTTGTCAAATTGCATCTTCAAACAGCGTGATAAATGTACAAATTGTTTCAGAGCTATCTGTACTTTTGAAAATTACAAACTCTGCAATAAATTTAAAATTAACTTAATTGTCTCCTAACAAAAATTATAAAGAAACTCATTTCTTATAATATTAAAATTTTTAATACAAAATATTTAAATTTGTTATATATTTTAAAAATAAAAATTAGTAAGTAAAAGGATTGCGCATATTCTTACAATTAATTGGAGAAATAGATTTTATTTTCATGATTCTTTTCTAAACCTAATTTATTCAAATTCTTCAATTTTCAAATAATAGAAAAAAATAATAGGTTGATATCCGATAAAATTCTTAATCTTATAATATTTTGAAGAAAAAAATACTCGACAATTACTAAAGATATACTTAATAATTTAGAATATTTTTCATAAATGTAATCATAGTGATAAGAAATAATAGGTATATCAGCCATAATAAAAAAAATGTGTTAGAAGATAATTACAAAAAATAATTACATCTATATTGCGAGCATATAAACATTTCGAAACGTCGAAATAAAACTTTCGCAGATTTTAATTAAGGATTTCTGATTTCTGGAGCATTCGACGTCCCCGTTCGCGCGAGTACTGGTTACATACAAGGGAGAGCGGGGATAAAATTTACAACAGCTTGCTTAAGCTCGTTTCGCACCAGAAGAAGTTTATCTCGTTTGCACCGGGCGCTGTGCATCGCCCTATTTTTCTGCGTCAGATTTTATGAAACCATCGCCATCATTCTCTCTACGAAAGAAA